TGATGATGATGATGATGATGATCACGATGATGAGGAGGAGGAGGAGGTCAGTGGATCTGAAGACGAGGAGTCTGGATCTGACAGTGGACCTGATCTGGCCCGAGGACAGGGCAACGTGGAGACCAGCTCAGACGAAGACGATGATGATGATGATGATGATGTCGAGAACATCCTGAGGCAGGAGGAAGAGGAGATCCAACACGACTGGGGGGAGCTGTGCAAGGACGCTCTGAGGAGTGACCAGGTGGGTCCATGTGGCTCTGGACCCGGCTTTGGCCCGTGTTAACCCTGGTTCTGTTCCAGGTCTCCACTCGACTGGCGGTCTGTAACATGGACTGGGACCGGATCAGGGCCAAAGACCTGCTGGTCCTGTTCAGCTCCTTCGTCCCTAAAGGTGGCGCCGTGCTGTCTGTGAAGGTAAACCTGCTCCCAGTCCAGAACTGGGTCAGGGTCTAAAGACCATGTTTGATACCTGTCAGACTGAACTCAGGGTGAAGAGTCACCTGAATAACCGCAGTGCATTGTGGGTCTTCTGACAGGTGTACCCCTCAGAGTTTGGAAAGGACAGGCTGAAGATGGAGGCGTCGCAGGGGCCGCAAGAGCTGAGAGCACTACCTGAAGACTCTGAGGACGACACCGAGGAGGACAGGTGAGGTCAGGACATCAGGTGAGGACAGGTGAGGTCAGGACGAGGACAGGTGAGGTCAGGACGACAGGTGAGGTCAGGACGAGGACAGGTGAGGTCAGGACGAGGACAGGTGAGGTCAGGACGACAGGTGAGGTCAGGACGACAGGTGAGGTCAGGACGAGGACAGGTGAGGTCAGGACGAGGACAGGTGAGGTCAGGACGACAGGTGAGGACAGGTGAGGTCAGGACGACNACATAAAGACAGACCTGTCTCTGTTTGTAGACATAAAGACAGACCTGTCTCTGTTTGTAGACATAAAGACAGACCTGTCCCTGTTTGTAGACATGAAGACAGACCTGTCCCTCTGTAAACCCTGTCTTATAGAACCCTCCCCTCAGACTCAGGTCATTAATAAAGTATTCTGGCTGTTGCTCCGGTCAGGTGCTGTTATTCTGCTCGGTCGGACCAACATGTTTCGCTTCAACCACCCCAAGGAGGCGGCCAGGCTGAGGGAGAAACGCAAGGTGAGACGTGGACCTGGACCTCCTTAGACCGCTCCCAGGCTGAGGGATCTAATGAACTTCTTGTCTCCTCAGAGTGGCCTGCTGTCCACCTTCAGCCTGTCCATGACGGACCTGTCCAAGTCCTGTGAGAACCTGTCCACAGTGATGCTCTACAACCCGGGGTGAGTCCTCTCCTTCCAGCTGCTGCACTGCTGGATGATCTAACATCTGCATCCAGCCTGAGCTGCTCTCATCTTCAGCATCTAGACTTCAGTCCTGGTCTTAGACTCTAGGTTCTGCTGAGTCAGCTCCTTTATCCTCAGAATAAAGCTTTTTCTTAGAAACAGGAAACAGTTTGAAGGTCAGCCCACCTCCACCTGAAGCAGCTGATAGTTAAAATATACAAATGTTTATGAATCAGATGTTTTATGTTGTTCTGAGTTCTAAAGAAGGACCTGCGGCTGGTTCTTGAGACCTGCAGTGGAAAAATACAGAACTGTGAAAATG